CCAGAGGAAGCAGTAAAGGGTTTGGGCTCTGAAGTTCCCATCTTTCGTGCCACTGCCATGTACAGTTCACGTGCGTAGTCCTTCACAGAGCGCGTGTCGACCGCCATGTTCGTCGCGCCTGACGCACCAAGTACCTCACAAGTAATTTTTCTGTCTTGAGAAGCACCTGGTTGTGAAAATACTTGATCATAGAAGCACCTGTAGACTTTGTGATCTTCATGTGCTCCTTTATCTTGGCTGAATCCTTCTTTATAGTCCGGATCGTAGATTCGTTGACGCCATGCTGGCGCGCGAGATCAACTTGCCGTGTTCCTTTCTCCAAATCTTGAATAATTTGGTACTTCACCTCGTAGCTTAAGGAACGTCGTGTCCTCTTTGGCTTAGTGCCGCTGGGTCCAGGTAAGGAAAGGTTTTTCTCTGGGGGTGGTGGTCCGGCGGAAGCCATTTTACGGAACAATGGATGCGCGTTAACACGGAGTGGCCTTGAGGGATGAGACTGTCGCGGCTAGGTCAAGCATCGTCTCTCCTCCCTCCCTCCCTGCCCCGGGTGGACACGTCATAATACTTTAAGCCAATTACAGCTAGCAGCAGAGGAGGGTAGGGATGCATGGCCAATCACAGGTCTTGTACGTCATATGACGTCAGTGATAACGCAACAAAGACACACTGCGCAACCTTACCGCGCCGCTTGCCCAAGCGGAGGGAGGAGGAGGGAGAGGCAGGCAGGCGGGCGGGTGGCGCGTGGCGCATGGGGAAAATCTGGGGTGGGTTGAAGGCCGCTGGCCGACACTCTCTGCTGAATATGCTCAGCGAATCGCTAAAATGTGAAATGTTAGGTTCTGGCAAGGCACCGCGGGTAACGTGGAAACGCTGGAATGCGACCGCTAAATATATATATATATATATATATATATATATATATATATATATATATATATATATATATATATATATATATATATATATATATATATATATATATATATATATATATATATATATATATATATATATATATATATATATATATATATATATATATATATATATATATTTTTTTTTTTTTTTTTTTTTTTTTTCAACGACTCACCAGCATGGAATCAACCCCACCTACTGGTGGGACTAGGAACGCCATCGCCCATCAGCTCGATGAACAGGCTTTGTGTGAAATATAACAGAGTCTAGAACTGCTTTTAGTGTCCTTGTGGCCTACCCGGTAAGCATTCCCTAGTCAAACCCAGTAGGTCGAGGGTTCGATTCCTTGCTGGTGAGGTCGTTGATTATATGTTCAAAGTCCGCGTGTTATATGGACTAAAAATGAAGTATATATATGTACCTCGCGTTTCATACCAGCTGGATTCGGTAAAATGCGACTGACACCACATAAGAGGCACGGGCAGTTTCCCAATGAGGTTCACGGCGCTATCAGCTCGATGAACAGGCTTTGTGTGAAATATAACAGAGTCTAGAACTGCTTTTAGTGTCCTTGTGGCCTAGCCGGTAAGCGTTCCCTAGTCCCACCCAGTAGGTCGAGGGTTCGATTCCTTGCTGGTGAGGTCATTGATTATATGTTCAAAGTCCGCGTGTTATATGGACTAAAAATGAAGTATATATATGTACCTCGCGTTTCATACCAGCTGGATTCGGTAAAATGCTACTGACACCACATAAGAGGCACGGGCAGTTTCCCAATGAGGTTCACGGCACCATCAGCTCGATGAACAGACTTTGTGTGAAATATAACAGAGTCTAGAACTGCTTTTAGTGTCCTTGTGGCCTAGCCAGTAAGCGTTCCCTAGTCCCACCCAGTAGGTCGAGGGTTCGATTCCTTGCTGGTGAGGTCGTTGATTATATGTTGAATGCTTCGGTATAGTAGGAACATCATAGAATCTAGTCTTATTAAACATACCGAAGCATTCAACATGAATTTGAGTAACGGCATGTACAAGCTGGACAATTTTGTAATTAAGAAGATTTGTGATCAGGTGAGAAGGCCGGGTCACTTGACCATCTGACCTGACCACCAACCGTTGTGTGCTATTTAAAGATTAGTAGGGTCATTACCTAATACCTGACCATTGTGGACCTGGTCTCACCCTCCTCTGTATATATACACCTTGATTTGTATTACTCTCTCTAGTCTGTACTCACCCCTGAAGATGTGAATTACACGAAAGCGCTTGGGAACTTCGTGTTTTCTTCTTTCCTTGTGGTTATCAGCATATACCTAGATCACGCGCACCTACAGTGATTTGCTTGCATATATATATATATATATATATATATATATATATATATATATATATATATATATATATATATATATATATATATATATATATATATATATATATATATATATATATATATATATATATATAACTGCGAACTACTTCATATTTTTCCCGCCTCTGCTAACGGCCGTGTAATATTTCAATGTGATTCTGTTCTTTTAAAATGTTGTTTATGCGTAATGTACTATAACTGATATGTAATTTGTCCTTGTATGTCTTATTGTAGGTAAAACGAAGTATTATATATTAAATGCCTCCTCTAAAAGCGTGAATTTGCTACCAGAGTTTAACAGTTCATTCATGTATAATACTTCTGATAAACTTCCTACTTGTTCCTGTTTGAAATAATGAAGGTATGTATCTTTATATAATTTAGTTTAATATATTTCTCGTCAGAAATGGTTATCCCAACAATTGTTAATAAACTCATTTAGAAATACATCATTACTCAGGACGAAATCGGACAGATTTACAACAGCCAATCAGCTGTAACTCTTGAGGAGGGGGCGGGGCATCTTTTCTCAGCTGAGAAGAAACGCGCTATTGTAGTCATCTCATCCGTGCTGAACGTCTTCTCGTCTCAATACACAACGTCTTCCCAGAAACAAGCTGGCTTTTCTGCATACTCTAACACATACTCCAGCCGCGTTTCCATGTCTACCTCAGTCTGGTGTGGCTTCTTTGTGGGTATATGGGCATGGAGGTCTTGTCGGATGCTGGGGCAGTGATAAATGGTCTGTCTTGGATGATAGCTGCTATTGCTCTATACTGCGCAGTCGTTGTGCAGCGAGGCCGCCCGGCTCCAAGTTGATGCAGGATCTGTCCTGTATCGTCGTGGTGCTTCATCCATAAGGCTACAGTGTGATTGGAAACACCGAGCCACCTAGCAATCGCACCATTGCTCAGGCCTTCTCCATGAAGTGCTCTGATTGTTGCTCGTGTTCTCTCTGAGGTCTTCATAATGACTATCATAGCTATGACTGGAGTATGGCCCATTACAACTCCTGCTGTTTGCTCTGATGGTCTTCCCTTTGCAAATCGAAACTGCTCCTTTCCTAACAGATTCATTACATTCTTTTAAACGAGCACTCTTCCTCTGTTGAAATTTTTTGCTACAGTGTTTTAAATAACACTGACAATGTTTTTGCATTGTGAATTTTACTACCTGTTACCCCCAGTCAACCCCCTATTCTTATCATAGACAGTATTGTGATATATTATAGAGATATAGCTCGTTTCTTAACTCACATCTTTCCGGCAGCTCAGTTACCTATGCGTAATACAGTACAGTATTGTATAACTATCCTATGTTACAAATGTTTCATTTTTTCTGGTTGAGGTTTTGTATTATACCACTTCTCACCACTTTCTCTGATAGTAGTAAAAATTATGAGTATTTACACGATTTCGTTGTATCTCATAGTATGCGAAATTCCTATACGGCACCTCAGTTTCTAGAGTGCCTGCCATTCCTACCATATGTGGGTGATTAAATGTAGTACTACGGTATAGTATATAATATTGTGACATTATCTGGTTTTAGTTCTGTGGGTTAAATATGTATTTCTGTTAATTTTTCTGTGGTTGCTACACATGATATAAGGATTAACAGCACATTAGTGTTACAATGAATCACACAATCAGAGATTGTTACCGCCACAGTAAGATAAGCTAGAAGAGAGCAACAAACCAATAACGCTCCTATGAGCGTTAACAGTCGAAACGTATACGGGAGGACTGTCGGCGAT